GCTTTATTTTAGAACAAATTTGGTTAGCGTAAAAAACGTTATAGTGAGCCAACCTTAACATATAGACATATATTCGCTATTCGTGCTATTCGTGCTATTTATAATATGCACCCGAGGGAATCCTTGAGGGACAAGTTTAAGGTAATCAAAATTCTAACTTTAGCGTCCCAATACATTTTTGAAAATTTATTGTACATGCGTAAAAACATTGAAGAATTCCCCAGAGTCTGCGATTTGCACAATGTGAACACTAGGAACAAACATAGGCTTGCGTTGCCGGCGGCTTGAATTAAGAAAATAAGCAACTCTTATAGGGGGCTGGTGTACAACTTTTCAACAAGATCCCACTAAACGTTCAATTACTACCTGTTCATAGATTTAAAAAAACTGTCAAGGAACGTTTGTGCAACAAGGCATATTATAAAGTTAAGGATTATTTACTAGATGGCACTACGTGGGAATGAGGCGCTCGCTCCTGGCCTTTTCATTTTTCATTATTATTATTATTATTTTTAATTGTATTTTTTTGACTTGTTTTTTCTTTTATTGTAAATATTTTTATTTATTTAAAAAAAAATATTTGAGAAAAAACAAAAAAAAAGCCCGCTGAGTTTGTTTCGCCGGTTTTTCTCAGGACTGTGGCTTTTTTTGGAACCGGTGGTAGAGTTAACATTGTTATTTGTATTTTGACATTCAACAAGTGTGTCATACTGACATCTAAGTTGAAATAAATGATTTTGAATTTGAATATGCTGTTGCGGACTTTTTTTTGATCTTTTAAAGCGGAACAATTCTGTCATATACTATTTTAGCGAAACTTTAACCGTTTCTGCGGCGCCCGCAGCGGAAGCTATTAAAAGGGAAAAAAAACCCGATTTTGAAACATTCTTTATTGGTACTCCGCTTGTATTGGTTTTAGCGTGATGTTATAACCTATAGCCTTCCTCGATAAATGAGCTATCTAACACTAAAAGAATTTTTCAAATCGGACCAGTAGTTCCTGAGATTAGCGCGTTCAAACAAACAAACTCTTCAGCTTTATAATATTAATAAAGTATAGAAGTATAGATATAAATGGGCTGACGAGTGGGCCGTTCACCTGGTATTAAGTGTCATGGACACTACGACATTAATGTCGTCTTGAAAAAATATTTCCAGTACCAATCGTCCGTGACCACGAAAACTGTAAAGTTATTAAACTTCAGAAATAATAAAAAGAAAATGACAAACTCGACATGAAGCCGTAGGTAAAAGTTGTTACAGTTATCTATACGATTCTCGTAACCCGAAGAGAACTATATATACTTCCAGTAAAATCAATATCTTAATCACAATCTTCGTATATCTGCGAAGATACTTGTGATTTTATCGTTATTGGTAGGAACTGTCGAAGCAGCTATGTGTTTAAGCAAACTTGGTGTAATTAACCATTAACTATGATGGGAAACACGAGACTAACTTATCAAAGGATTCGACTGCCGAAGTTTGAGATTGGGATCATGCATGTATATGACATATTATGTATTAAGTATTCCTCGAGCATTCGCATATGTAATATGCTGTGGTATGACATTTGCGCATTTTTTTTTTTTTATTGCTTAGATGGGTGGACGAGCTCACAGCCCACCTGGTGTTAAGTGGTTACTGGAGCCCATAGACATCTACAACGTAAATGCGCCACCCACCTCGAGATATAAGTTCTAAGGTCTCAGTATAGTTACAACGGCTACCCCACCCTTCGAACCGAAACGCATTAGTGCTTCACAGCGGAAATAGGCCGGGTGGTGGTACCTACCCGTGCGGACTCCCAAGAGGTCCTACCACCAGTGATGAGCGCACTGGTGGTAGGATAGGTGGTAGGTGGTAGGAGCGCATGATATAATATAATCTAAGATCCCGATATAAAACGATCTTCACCGAGATGTTTACTTAATAAAACGTATTTCCTATTAAATTTAATATACCAATAAATATATTGTTTAAGGATTGTCTATCAAATTTCAGTCCGGGATATGATTAATTAATTATTTTAAAATATATTTTTTTTAAATTTCACCGGTTTGATTATTAGACAAATTCCATACCAATCGAAATGAAGCCCATAGAATATGCAAACGTTAGGTTATCTATTCTTTTCCCGTCACCGCTCTCGGGTAGCCAGGAATAAACAAGTAAATCGATACTAGCATTTTGCACCGATCTGTTTATTAAATTAAAATTAAATAAAAATAAGGGATAATAAAAGGAAACGCGTTACTGTTTCACGGCAGAAATAGGCAGGGTGGTGGTACTTACCCGCGCGGACTCACAAGAGGTCCTACCACCAGTAATTACGCAAATTATACTTTTGCTGGTTTCATTTTTATTACACGATGTTATTCCTTCACCGTGGAAGTCAATCGTGAACATTTGTTGAATACGTATTTCATTAGAAAAATTGGTACCCGCCTGCGGGATTCGAACACCGGTGCATCGCTTCGCCACGAATGCACCGGACGTCTTATCCTTTAGGCTACGACGACTTCGATGCGACGTTCGGGTTGCAGCGACATTCTCATTTTGATTATTATGTTTTGAATTTCGATAGTCACTTAATACTAAGTGTGCTGGGATCTCTTATTCCATAGGCATCCATATACAACAGCAAAAGGTATTCAGTTTTTCTATGAGCGGTAATGATAATGAAATGTGTTCACAAGTGCTTACCGTTTCTTGTTTGTTGATGAGCAGGCGACGTCTGTACGTAAAGCGATACGCTGTAATAAATTTTATTGAAATAGCATCTTAAACGGTTCAATCCGTGTGGTTAAAATAAACGATAAATCCATGTAAGAGATAGCTTGGCGTTACTCCCAGTAATGTTCGGTGATAGCGCATAAGCTATTACGTTAAATGAAGCGATTAACCTAAAACCGGAGACTGGGGTGGATATTGACTAAGTTACAATACTTACGAAAGTAACGCCTTCTAACTCGATCGATTATATTTTTTTACTAATATACTAATATTATAAAGCTGAAAAGTTTGTTTGTTTGAACGCGGTAATCTCAGGAACTTACTGGTCGGGTTTTGAAAAATTCTTTCATTGTTAGATAACCCATTTATTGAGGAAGGCTATAGGCTATATAACATCACGGTAAGGCCAATACAAGTGGAGCACCAATAAAGAATGTTTCAAAATAGGGATTTAAATAGCTCCTTACCATTCTATAATTCAAAAATATTTTCACTTTCTACGTAAATGAAGTGGGGGTAAAATTTAGCATTATGCCAAAGCAACTATTCCACGCGAACGGCGTCGCGGGCGAAAGCTAGTTTTTTATAAGTTACTTTAGAAGCGGCTTCAGCTGCAAACGCGTTTTTTTTAAACCTTCATCACTCTTCCCCTCCGTTTCAGAGACCTACATAATGTGGAGCAGTCATACCTCGAATAATAACTTCAGTTAAGGCTATTATTGTAAAGCAAGATTACGTCGTCGTCCTGGCCTAAAGGATAAGACGTCCGGTGCATTATTGCGTATTTACTGGTGGTAGGACCTCGCGTGAGTCCGCACGGGTAGGTACCACCACCTCGCCTATTTCTGCCGTGAAGCAGTAATTTCGGTTTGAAGGGTGGGGCAGCCGTTGTAACTATAGGTACTGAGACCTTAGAACTTATATCTCAAGGTGGGTGGCGCATTTACGTTGTAGATGTCTATGGGCTCCAGTAACCACTTAACACCACTTAAATAATAATAAAATAAATAAACACTAGGTGGATTGTGAGCTCGTCCACCTATCTAAGCATTAAAAAAAATAAAAAATGTACAGGCGTTCATTGCCTTTGCATATTTCGTTTGCTTACATGACACAAAACTTATCTAATTTAGGGGCAAAAAGGTTTCCTATTTAAGGGATAGGTAGAATCGGCTTACAGGAGGATAACATAAAATGAGTTCATGTGCAAGGCTTCCTACGTGATGGCTTGTGAATTTGATCGCTAAATTACACCGAGATTGTGTGAACTCGGAAACAGATATATTTTCTGGTTAATGTTCCACATTTTTATCAGGGGTTTAAATTGTAAATTTCTTTATACTTTCCAGTTATTTGAGATATTATATAGCGCTATGTAACTTAATAATAATAATAATAAAGCCTTTTTATTTCCATTAAATTTACATAACATAAATCTATGTTTCATTTTAGTATAATTTATAATACAGTTTTTATCACTTACTTAATATAATTAGTAGTTATGTTTACATAATATTCTGTAGTTATTTAATCTACCGGGACCCCAGATTGGGTGAAGACCTCCTTCAGTGATGCCCATTTGATTCTTTCTTCAACTACTTTTTTCCAGCTTGGACCAGCTATTGCTTTAATATCGTCTTCCCATCTTGTTATAGGTATACCTCTTATTCTTATTATATACAGTCCACTGAGTTTCTCGCCGGATCTTCTCAGTGGGTCGTGTTTCCGATCCGGTGGTAGTTTCTACGAAGGACTGCTCTTGCTAGGGCCAGTGTTAGCATCACTCCAGTTTGAGCCCCGTGAGCTCACCTACTAGTTAAGGTTACGCTGAAATAGCCTCTTAAGGCTATCAGCTTAAGTAGGAGTAGAGTTCATTCATACTACCTGGAGCTGCTGCGGTCATCCACAGTGTATTTCCAGAGGTCTTTTTGCCACGCACTATCCGGGGATGGAATGAGCTCCCCTCCACGGTGTTTCCCGAGCGCTATGACATGTCCTTCTTCAAACGAAGCTTGTGGAGAGTATTAAGCGGTAGGCAGCGGCTTGGCTCTGCCCCTGGCATTGCTGAAGTCCATGGGCGACCGTAACCACTCACCATCAGGTGGGCCGTATGCTCGTCTGCCTACAAGGGCAATAAAAACAAAAAATAGGAAAAAAAATATATATATACACATCAAGATTTTAATCATCTTCTCTGTTGGTGTGTGTCTTTTTACACTGTATCTTTAGTTTAGTGTTTTCTAACCGACATGCTCTGTCCGAAGGTGCAACCCTGGCCGTCATCATCGACATGGATCAACGCACTTCTGTGATCTTCAGCGCATGCGTGGCAGTCTTCTACACTTTGTTCGGAGGCCTATACTCCGTGGCCTACACAGACGTCATTCAGTTATTCTGCATATTCATCGGTCTATGGATGTGTATACCGTTCGCTTGGGCGAACCCTCACGTGAAGCCTCTAAGCTCCATGGAGGTGGACTGGATAGGAAAGGTGGATTCTGACTATTATTGGTTCTATATCGATTATGGTCTATTGCTGATCTTTGGAGGGATTCCTTGGCAGGTAAGATTGCTTTTTTTTGTTGCTTAGATGGGTGGACGGCTCACAGCCCACCTGGTGTTGAGTGGTTACTGGAGCCCATAGACATCTACAACGTAAATGCGCCACCCACCTTGAGATATAAGTTCTAAGGTCACAGTATAGTTACAACGGCTGCCCCACCCTTCAAACCGAAACGCATTACTGCTTCACGGCAGAAATAGACAGAACGGGGCTTTTGAAGACTTTGATTTAGACCGATTTATTTTAGGTGCCTTTAGTGTTTAAGTCAATTAGTGTCACTGAAACTATAGTGAAATGTGTTCATTGTAAAAAGGCATATCTTCTCGCATGCTACGTTACAAGTGCGAGATAATCGTCTCAATTGCAGTGAATTACAATTGAATTTAGCTGTTTTACTCAGGTTTATTTCCAACGAGTGTTGAGCAGTAAGACAGCAGGCAGAGCGCAGGTGCTCTCCTATGTGGCAGCAATCGGCTGCATCTTCATGGCCATCCCACCAGTACTCATCGGAGCCATAGCTAAGGGCACTGGTAAGAGAAACATCCACACACACACACACGCAACACACACACACACACACACACACACACACACACACACACACACACACACACACACACACACACATGCACGCATACACACAACTGCAGCATGCCTATTAGTAGGCAGTATAAAAATAATTCATTTAGTTAAAACATTTTTCAATTCACTGGTTAAAACACCCTAATCTTGGAGATGATATTATTGCGAAATAGAAAGCTTAAATAATAAAATCAAATCGCCTTTTCAATATACCGCCAGGTACGTTGCAATTTTTCAAAAAAAAACAAAATGATGGCAAATATTTTTTAATAAAAATTTTTATATAAATAATTTTAAACAAAAAACTAATTTTTTGTATCAAACCTAAGATCGTGAGTATTTGTTGGACACGTGTCGATATATTTATGTTCCGCCTTAGTTACGTCTATAATTGTGTACAACTTTTTGCAACGGTTTAACAGGTGATGTTGGTGCGTAGTTTAAAACTCAATGAAAACTTCCATCATTTTTTCTAAATCTAAACAGAACCAAATGTATTTATGATTCAAGTCAAGTTTATGTTCGAATTTTCCGATAGATTGCTTCGAAAACTCTATCAGGGGCTAAGCGATCGAGGAACATAAATTTACCTTATCATTATTCCGGGGCTGTATGCGAGTGAGCCCCAAACGCTTTTGTTAGTTTGAAACCTTGCTAAAGCAGTAGCAAATATAAAACGGATTCATTCATAAATTCGGTTTTAAAAATATTTCTGCCGTTATATATTCATACATTTAAATTTTATGAGTTAGAGTCATTTTGTTTTCTAATGTTGTTGATGTCTATGGGCTTTGATGATCACATAGTACAAGATGGGTCGTGAGCTTAGCTACCGATCTACAGTAGTGAAGTCTGCGAAACTATCATCATTAATGTAATCTCAAGTAGTTATGTCGTACTTTTTTCTTAAAGCGTAATATTGATCATTTTAACAGTACGTGTCTTCTAACACTTCTTCGATATATTATGTAAGTACTTCTTCTGCAAGTTATTTCCTCAAGTTGTTTGGTGACGAGGCTAATCGAATTGTAATTATGTAGATGTAACTTAACTGATATTTAATAGAGTATGATGAGACTAGCTTTTGCCCGCGACTTCGTCCGCGTGGAATAGTTACTTTGCCATAACGCAAAATTTTACGCGCGGCTTCATTTATGTAGAAAGTGAAAATATTTTTGAATAATATAATGTTAAGTTATAGTGAACCAACCTTAAATTATAGACATATACTGGCGCGGACTTTTTTTTAGTAATTTTAAAGGGGAACAATTCTGTCATACATAGTTTTAGCGAAGCTTTAACTGTTTCCACACGCATCGGAATCTCTCGAAAGGAGAAACAAAATCGATTTTTGAAAGATTATTAGTGCTCCGCCTGTTTTGGTTTTAACGTGATATTATATTAGCCTATAGCCTTCCTCAATGAATGGGCTATTTAACACCGCAAGAATTTTTTAAATCGGACCCGTAGTTCCTGAGATTGGCGTGTTCAAACAAACAAACACTTCAGCTTTATAATATTAGTATAGATTGTCTCTGTAACTTTCCAATCAGCCTGGAACGAGACGGATTATCACGGAGACCTCACACCGGATGGCGAGCTCACCTCGGCGCAGACCTCAATGATTCTGCCACTGGTACTCCAACATCTCACGCCGGAGTTTGTCTCGTTCTTTGGGCTTGGAGCCGTCTCAGCTGCTGTCATGTCCTCGGCCGACTCTAGCGTGCTCAGCGCGTCTTCTATGTTTGCCAGGTTTGTATTGTTAGATAGAGAGAGAGAACATACTTTATTGCACACCAAAACCCTTTTTATTTATTGCTTAGATGGGTGGACGAGCTCACAGCCCACCTGGTGTTAAGTAGTTACTGGAGCCCATGGACATCTACAACGTAAATGGCCACCCACCTTGAGATATAAGTTCTAAGATCTCAGTATAGTTACAACGGCTGCCCTACCCTTCAAACCGAAACGCATTACTGCTTCATGGCAGAAATAGACAGGGTGGTGGTACCTTCCCGCGCAGACTCACAAGAGGTCCTACCACCAGTAAAAATTAACATTAGAAAACAGTCAACAAGTAGATACGTTTGTACAATAGGCGGTCTTATCGCTAAAAGCGATATCTTCCAGACAACTGTTTAATTACCCGTTTATTTCGATTAGAGCCTAAACAGTTTTGTGTTTTTTTTTAAAGTTCATTTATTTATTTGTGTTAATTAATTGGACCGACGTATCGATGATCGTAGAATCGAACAGCCATGACTACTCTGCCAAGAGTATCCGACTAGAAAGAAGAAGGAGGGAAGGAATTAATCGGATTATTTTATTGAGCTCGGATATCTCCGATAGTTAAAACATGTGTAATCAATCAGTAGCTCTAAGAAGTACAATTTATTGAGTAGTCAATTTAGAAGAATACACAGAATTTGTATTGATTTTTCTGGTTATTAGCTGAATAGCACTCTATTTCAACTTAACAGTTTTAAGATCAAATTTCATCTAATTATAATATATGACGGTTGTGCGTGTACAAGGCATGAGTCGGTACCGTCTCGTATCTATGTGCTGCAGTTAATGAATAAAATTTGGCATTTGATTTCGATAATCACTCAAGACCACTTTGATTGAAGACTAAATTAATAATTGTAGGTATAACGACGGAGGGAAGATCTTCTACCAAGCGGGTGATATTGCTCGGTAGACCGAGAGTCTGAATGCTGTTGTTCGGAACTTGTATAATATGCAAGCTTATCTTGAAAATGTCGTAAGGGAGATTCGGCCTCTGCTTTTTTTTCCTACCTAAGCTGATAGCATTTAGAGGCTATTTCAGCGTAACCTTAGCTAGTAGGTGAGCTCACGGGGCTCAAACCGGAGTGATGCTAACGCTAGCCTTAGTAAGAGCAGTGCTTCGCAGAATCTACCGCCGGATCGGAAACGCGACCCAATGAGAACATCCGGCGAGAAACTCAGTGGGCTGTGTCTGTGGGTTAAAGGTATCTGCGAAATATCTTGTGTTGTATCATACAACCACATAATAATGAATTAGATGCACTAGTTGGAAGAGGAGACATACAACTGATTATTTGATGCTAAACTAAATTAATTTAGTTAGCTAGTTTAAGTTAATGTAATCTATACTAATATGTAAATCTACAGTGGTTTTTACGGATGTACCGTTATAACTACTGAACCATGCATCCGATTGACTTGAAACTCGGTATGCATGTGCATGTAGAAAATACATGTACTTAATGGATAGGCTAATATTTATATGAGTGTTGGACTCACTGATGATAATGACAATAAACAATAATGTTAATTTTAAATGCCCAGCGAAGCGGGGGAGTACGGCTAGTTTGAAATAAAGTTCTTTTCGCCAGGAATGTATACAAGCTGATCTTCAGACAGAACGCTTCGGAAATGGAGATCATCTGGGTGATGCGGGTGTCTATACTGATCGTCGGGTTCCTGGCTACCGTCATGGCCCTCACTATACCTTCAATCTACGGATTATGGTAAGTGCTTTTTATTAAAATTTATATTCAGCATTCAATTTGCTGGTTTGTTCAATTTGATCATATATCGGCAGTATCCATGCTATGAAATGACTTCTTTTAACTTAAATAAAAGATACTTTTTATGTAAGCAATTTCAGCTAGTTCTATGAGTATTTATTACAACGTAAACACGTCCGATGAATAGTGAAATATTTTACAAAAGCATTTTCTTGTTGTATTTCTCAAATACTTTTAAAGCTTATTAAAGTATTATTTTAATAAAGCCTCTTGCTGATTAATATCTAAAGACGTGAAAAGGCGTCCTTTCAAATATGATTAAAAGTCAGGGTAGGGAGAATGATTATGAGAATTTTCATTGAAGGTTGTTGTTGGTGTTTAATGAGGATTTGCTACTGGAGTGGCATTGTCGAGAGCTTTTAAAGTAAATCTTATGAGTATATTTGCTTTTGATTTAATTTTTATTGTATTATGAGACGTTTTAGCTAATGACAGTCCATGCGACCGCTATAACTGTATTGTAACTGTGATGTATTTAAAAACTCCAAAAATGAGTTAATTCACTAAACACGAGAAAATATTTAAAAAAATATTACAACTTTTAATGTATTCTATTCTATCAGCCCGCAGACGTCCATTGCTGGACATAGGTTTCTTCCAAGCCCTGCCACAAAGATACATATTAAATATACTAATTCACAAAGTCGTATAGATTGCGAATTCAACATTGCCATTAAACTAAAACACGAATTTTTGGAATTATTAAACAAAAAATCACTCATACGAATCCGCTATTCCGTATGTTATGAGTGCTTCGGCTGATTGAGCTGAGGCGATCTTGAGTTTGGTAAATCTATAACTGAGTCGACTATTATCAAAGCCGGCAATCTGACTTTTGAACAATGATTGGTAAATCAGAAAAATGAATTATGGACTTTGTATTCCATTGGCAGTCACAAAACTCTTCGGAACGACATCTTAGATAAATAACAGGTTAACTATTAACCTTTATTTAATGCAGGTTTTGAACCGTCTTCTTTGAAGGAGACGATTATATTCAAATCAATCTGTATTGACAAATCAGTAATTTTTTTTTGTCCAAATTCACAGATTGTCACCTTTGATAATAGACGACTCAACTATACTAATATATAAATCTACAGTGGTTTTACAGGTATTCCGTTATAACTACTGAACCATGCATCCGATTGAGTTGAAACTTGGTATCCATGTAGAAAATGCATGTACTTAATGGATAGGCTAATATTTATATGAGTGTTGGACTCCCTAATAATAATGACAATAAATAATAATGTTAATTTTAAATGCGCATCGAACCGGGCGAGTACGGCTAGCGTTTCTATAGTAACAAAAGGCATTTACAAAGTTTCATCTGTGACACAATATATGTTTTATAATTTGTACTAGAGGTCCCGCAATTCGACTATAATTAATTGGAATTGTAAGTTTGTACACTATTATGATTGTATTTTATACTTCTATAATCACAAATATCGCCAAGACTACATTATAGAAAAATATTAATAAAAACAAACAATATTTAATCTCAATTTGACAACTCGCGTCAAGAACAAAAGTTTGACAGTAAATATTATGCATGCGTGTGTGCGTTAAATACATGGTATGTAGTGTGCGTAATATTTTCTTTATTGATTTAATGTATTTTTTAAGTATTATTTTAAAAAAAAATTAGCATTGTGCACTTATTCTCTATATTCTCTATAAGTGTGGAAAATTCATACTCCTCCGTCCGCGCAATTTTCGTAAAAAGGCATACAAAGTTTTTGCTTCACGTATTAATATATAGATTAAAAGCGCACAAAACGCGACAAGTTCAGGGAATGCTGCACGTAGACGCAGAGATAAGGGGGCTTGCAAAACATCGAGAATTCGTATTTGTTGAAAATGAGAAAGAAAATGCCTTGCTTATGTGTGAACAACAAGAAAAAAGGTCCGAATACTCGATAATTTTATATTACGCTCATCATGTGCTCTAATTACTACTACATATTTCAATTAAAACCGAAATGACTTTTAAGTCTAAATTTTCAAAATGTTGAATATTTTCTGAATGTTCTAGATTTTTATGTCTGAAAACCAATTTGAAAATACTTTAATCGTATCCCTTGATATTATTAAATTAGACAAATTTAAATTATTTAAATATTACTCAACTCAATTTTATTTTATTTTTGTTTTGTCTTTTATTATTTAGACATGTAGTTAGCCCGGGCCTCTCCTCTCTCCAAGTATTGATTCATATATAATACTATAAACTAAATGCCTTCAAAGTTTATTATATTTATATAATTTAAGAAGGCAATTTTACTTATTTACACAAAATGGTATTGTTTGTTTTTCTTTTCTAAATTTGCAACAAAAAATTAGATTCTCATAAAACTTGTATAACGTTCCTTTAGATGTTCCGTAAAATATTTTAATTTCCATTCAAAGGTTGTACTAATGTTGTCTTATGAAAAAAACTTTTGAGTTTTTGATATAAAATTCTTCTTTCAACCATCAGCTTGTTTATCTAATTTCAGCTTAATCTGTTTAATGTAAGTGCGTAATTAACTTTTTCTGATATTTCAAGTACTTACTGTTTCGCCATCACAAACAACCGATATGTCACAGTTAAAATGTTAGCATGTACTATGAGGCCATTTCATCAAAAACCTTAGGAAATACCATTAATAAAATAAATATATCTCCCCTGCTTAAACTCCATGATAATGACAAAGCACTTTGAGTGATGCTTGTATTGGAGCGTATACAGATTATATTCCAATCAGGACATCAAACAGTAGATGCCCCTTTTAATTAAAATTATTAGTTTATCTAACAAAGAAGATTAAATCTTTTGGAAAACAAATCCAATTTTTATGTAATTGTGTTATATTTACACTATTGACGAGATCGTATTTTCATTGTATATTTTTCACGCGGAGTTATTATGTGTTTCGGTTTGAAACAATTTCCTTTTTATTACATTTATTTAAGGCTTTAACTTAATGATGGCTTTAACTAATTTTGTTGTCTTTATGAGGTCGTCCTGGCCTAAAGGATAAGACGTTCGGAGCATACGTATCTAGCGATGCAACGGTTTTCTAATCCCGCGGGCGGGCACCAATTTTTCTAATGAAATATGTACTTAATAAATCCTCACGATTGACTTCCACGTTGAAGAAATAACATCATGTAATAGAAATCAAACCCGCAAAATTATAATTTGCGTAACTACTGGTGGTAGGACATCTTGTGAACAGACTATTTCTGCCGTGAAGCAGTAATGCGTTTCGGTTTTAAGGGCGGGGCAGCCGTTGTAAATATACTGAGACCTTACAATTCATATCTCAAATGGGTGGTGGCATTTACGTTATAGATGTTCATGGGCTCCTCCTCCTCCTTCAGTCGATCGCTCATTGCTGAGCATCGTGATGCGCTCGCCTGTGACCTTTTTTTGTAATTTTTAGCCACTTTTGTCGGTCAGTGGCACAGTGAAGTGCGTGGCTCAGTCTCATGTCCAGATACTCAGACACTTGGTCACTCCATCTTTTTTGGCTACATTCATGGGCTCAAATAATCACTTAACACCAGGTGGGCTGTGAGCTCGTCCACCCATCTCAGTAATAAATAAAAAATAAGCGTATAATGAATGGGCAGTAAATTCCGATAAAAGTTGCTTGAGCAAAAAGGCTCCTCCACGTCCACGCAGCGCCTGTGTGCAATCATTACACTAGCCACCTCTAATAAAGCGCATGATGAAATTGGAATAGATACAAATGTAACAGGTTCATTCAAAGTTCACTGAGTTTCTCGCCGGATCTTCTCAGTGAGTCGCGATTCCGATCTGGCGGTAGATTCTGGAAAGCTCTGCTTTAGCTAGGGCTAGTGTTAGCAAATTCTCTCGGGTTGAGCCCGTGAGCTCACTTATCCATACGTGCGCAGTTGGACTATGCCCTTAGACCTTTTTAGGTAAAAAAATTATAATTGAAAGTGCCGAGGCCAGCGATCCGCTGCAACCGTGTTCAACACACACCTTACTAATACTACAACCGCGTTGGCGCTATGACTCCGAAATGGGTCTTGGCCTCCAACAGTAAAGGTCCCGGCGCTGCGCAACACCTTACCAGTCTGGCAGTTGAAGTTTGCGTCGATCCCATTTCGCCGTGTCCGTACTTGGGCCTCCCTCCGGTACACCTGCTTCACAGCCTGATCCTGCTCCATCCGCACAATTAGCCCAAGCTACCAGACTCTCCGCGCCTTCATCTTCCCCAGAATAGTTGGCACACTAAAAAGCTACCCCACATCTTTGTTTTTCCGGACGCGTCAACCGTCATCCCTTCGAACTGGTCCCATTATCTTTCTTTGCTCCCTTACTAGGACCGTTGATTCTTCCGTGTAATCGTCTATGCTTCGCATCCATACAATACTATCGGTCTGACTATGGTTTTGTATATCCGAATCTTGCCGCTTCTGCCTAGTAACTTCGAAAAGAGAAGATGCAGCCAAGGTACCGGAATTTCAACACTTCTTTGTAGATCATATTTCCTAGATCTTCTCGCTTCCTTCCTATGTTTTTCTATCGATGCTATTAACGCCCACCCTGCACCATAGGTATAATCAGCTAAGTTCGGGTATCCAGTTTCAAGAATAAGATTATTTCAGTGTTGACATTTGAAACGGGGCTAACGTTGAATTGTCTAGAGCGCGGGAACCCGTCAGATGTACGGATTTAATCTAATTGAAATAGTATTCTCGGTAGCTCGGATCGGATTTGCGATTCGATCGTATTTTTAGTGAGTGTTTATTTAAATCTATATGAGAATTATACAAGACTTCATTAAATTAAGTCGTTTTGTTTGTCTGTATTGATTCCGGGTATAAGTATGGCAATGTGTTGAGACTCGAACAAAATAAGTCAATTTCATAATGATTAGCAGTAGTGTGGTAGTTTCACTCCAGTTTTGGGAACTGGGAATACCAGATGTTAGATCAAAGTTAACTATATTTTCTGTGGAAGATTGGTTTCTGTGGGAATTCTTTATCATTGGTATTACTGCATTTTGGGTATCTCAGTCATACTGTAGGCTGAATTTAATTGTTTTGTTGTTGTAACGTCCATTTAAGTTTATTGCAAAAAGAGTAAGGTGTTGAAATTGTGGCACACTTCATCAGTGTGCGTTCACAATACATAATTAACTAGGCTTCAAACGGAATTTCTGTAATAGCCTCATCAAAATCTACGAATAATAGCTACACATTTTCGCCGATCGTTTACCGTTCACCGTTTATATTAATGTTCACTGTCAGTTGAAACGTAACATGTTAAAACTTTGTTTTACATTCTGAATAAATTAAGTTTTATTTTATTTTATTGCTTTATTGGTTGGACGAGCTCACAGCCCACCTGGTGTTCAGTGGTTAATGGAGCCCATTGATATCTATAACGTAAATGCGCCACCCACCTTGAGATATAAGTTCTAAGGTCTCAGTAGAGTTACAACAGTTGCCTCAACCTTCAAACCGAAACGCATTACTGCTTCACGGCAGAAATAGGGGAAGAGGTGATACTTCATGAAATCAGTATCATCATCATCATCATCATCATCAACAGCCCACAGTCGTCCACTGCTGGACATAGGCCTCTCCCAATCCACACCACTGAGCCCGGTCTGCGGCTCTCCTCATCCACTTCTTGCCGGCCACCGTGCGGAGGTCATCGCACCACCTAGCCAAGGGGCGTCCCACGTTACGTCTTCCGCTGCGCGGTCTCCACTCGAGAACCCGTCTGCTCCAGCGATCGTCAGTCCTACGGCATATATGGCCAGCCCACTGCCACTTCAGCTTGCTGACTCTTTGAGCTATGTCGATGACTTTAGTTCTCTGTCGAATAATCTCAATGTATGAGAAGTATTCATGAAATCAATCACGCTTCATGAAATATATTTTTAATAGTACCGTCGACAGTATTTAGTTGTAATAATACCCACAGCGAATCGAGTCGAGAATTTACAAGTAAATATTTTTATAAACTTTATCATAGACACACCATACTCCAATCTAAATTCCTCGCAGTACATTTCCAATGAACGTCAATGGGCATTCACGTCTACATTGACAGCCTCAATCAAAACCGCAAACCACTCCACCATACATCATTGGACAGAATATAGGCAATTCATACGTTACACAACCAACGGAGTGTGAATTCCGGGACTCAGGATCGACGTGACGTATATGTTATTATGCCGTAATATCGTACCTTTAAAAGGAATTCATATTCAAAACAATTGACAATTTGAAAGAAACAAATATTATTGTTACGAACTGAAGCTCAAGATAAATAAAACTATTCGCCGAGTCACCGTCGTCGCCCTAGACACGTCCTTACGGATCCATCAGATCCAATAACTCTTGCATTAGATACCTTCAGCTCTAACACTAGGAGCAGGCTGAGGAACCCCGGTAACCGTACTCGTCGAACTCGACAAAGAGGTCGACGTGCAACCTTACCCATGCATCAGCCCGCTGAGTTTCTTGCCGGATCTTCTCAGTGGGTCGCGATTCCGATCCGGTAGTAGATTCATTCGCGAAGCAATTGCTCTTGAGTTGTTAGGTCTCCTTCGGAGGCGCTCGGGCAGTTGTTAGCAAATACCACCCCTCCTGGCTGAGCCTTTGCTCGCCCACATGTCCTGGTGAAGCTGGAAAGGCCTCCGGGCCACCAGTAATCTTTCAATCATAAAAAAAATAACTATTCGCCGAAATACTATTTTTTTTCTTTCTTTTTTTATTGCTTACATACAGCTTACAGCTCACCTGGTCTTATGTGGTTACTGGAGCCCATAGACATCTACAACGTAAATGCGCCACCCACCTTGAGATACAAGTTCTAAGGATCTCAGTATAGTTACAACGGCTGCCCCACCCTTCAAACCGAAACGCATTACTGTTTCACGGCAGAAATAGGCAGGGTGGTGGTACCTACCCGTGCGGACTCAAAAGAGGTCCCATCACCAATAATTACGCAAATTATAATTGTGCGGGTTTGATTTTTATTACACGATGTTATTCCTTCATCATGGAAGTCAATCGTGAACATTTCTGGATGGAAAGCTATTATTTAACTGGTACTATCTAATGCATCGACCCTTTTCATCATTTCATAACCAGTGATGGTAATTAAGATACGAGCTGTGGCCACATAAAATAATCAAATTAGCTTTAAAGACCTGAATTCTTTATTCTTAATTGCTTCTATTTCCTACAGAAATTTATCTATTACCAGTAGATAATATAATTAGAGAAGAGTATTAGTTAATTAGATAATTAGAGAAGCAATTGTAGTAGAAAGAGGTGGTAATTTATCTACTGGTAGTACATAAATTACCACGATATTACCACCAATTACCACCATAATTATAAGATACTAGTGCGTGCTTTTTCTAATTTCTAACGTGGAGCCCCTTACAGGTCAATGTGCTCAGATCTGGTGTACGTGATTCTCTTCCCGCAACTCCTGATGGTGGTACACTTCAAGAAGTATTGCAACACCTATGGCTCTCTGGCTGCATACATCGTGGCTCTCTTAGTTAGGATGTCTGGAGGGGAGAAGATGTTAGGACTGCCGCCGCTGATCCACTATCCTATGTGGGACCCAAAAGAAGAAGTCCAGCTGTTTCCATTCCGAACCATGGCGATGGTTCTCTCACTCTTCACACTAGCCTTCATTTCATGGCTCTCCGTGTAAGTATTATATTACTATTACTAGTATACTAACTGTCGCTACATAACACTTTCAGATTCACCATTTCTATGTACATCATTATCTAATCTAGTTCCGTGTTATTTTACTGTCTTCAAATACCTATTTGCTAACTTTGATGTGATGAAATCCTTATTTGGGATAGTCCATTAAATTCTGTAGTTATAAACGAGTTAATCTTACAGCAATAATGTAAAAGACGATAAAAACCATAAACTTGTCCCACAATATTCATTACAAATATTTTGAAAATTACATAATTAGTAAATGATTTGTATTGAATACTAGCTGACCCGGCAGACTTCGTAGTGCCTCAATCGATAAATAAAAGACCTAAACTTTGGTATAAAATAAACTTAAAACAAACAAAAGGAATCCGTCCGACGGGGGACACATCAAAGAGAAAACAAAATTGTTATTTTTATTTAATTCCGAGCATTTTCATATTTATCTACCCTTTAAACCTTCTCTGGACTTCCACAAATAATTCAAGACCAAAAGTAGCCAAATCGGTCAAGCCGTTTTAATGTTATGTCGTGACAACGGAAAACGGGTTTCATTTTTATATATATAGATATGTATTGATGATATAACTTTTACTGGCGGTAGGACTCCTTATGAGTCCGCACGGGTAGGTACAAGCGCCCTGCCTATTTCTGCCGTAAAGCAGTAATGCGTTTCGGTTTGAAGGATGGGGCAGCCGTTGTAACTATACTGAGATCTTAGAACTCAAATCTGAAGGTGGGTGGCGGCATTTACGTGGTAGATATCTATGGGCTTCAGTAACCACTTAACACCAGGTGGGCTGTGAGTTCGTCTACCCATCTAGGCAATAACTAAAATTGAATGGATTGTTTAAACTGCTTAGTTAAACACGCCCGCCGTCGGGTTAATGTAAATTGCGTTTTTCATTTTAACATTTCATTAATTATGTATTGTTAATTAATTATCATAAGATGCGCAACGTCTTTGTTAAATTAAATAATGAATTATTTTTTTAAAGATATTTTAAACACAATATTTTCTTGTGTTCACTGGTAGCTTACGTTTATTGGTGATAGGTCTTGTGGGCTCGCACGGGTAGGTACCAGCATTTCGCTTATTTCTGCTGCGAAGCAGTCATGCGTTTCGCTGTGAAGAGTGGCATGCACATTGCATGTTACAGTTGATTCAAATCCCGAAATAATCGACGTCATGGCTGTAATTCGATCATATATAAAAATGCGATCTTGCACAGCCATTGGAGCGGTGCTACTAGTAATAAATATTGGAATTTTAGCGCGGCTTGGCTCTGCCCCTGGCATGGCTGAAGTCCATGGGCGACGGTAACCACTCACCATCAGGTGGGCCGTGTGCTCGTCTGCCTACAAGAACAATAAACAAATAAATAAAAATTTAATTCTCCTCCATGCCGTCTCTTGAACGCCATACAATGTCAAACTTTCAACCTTTCAAGTGTCTTCAACGTTAGTGGCTTGACTGTGCCTCAAGAATGGTTGATGCCCATGAACAAATCGCTCAGCAATCGAAGGTGGACCTCAAGCCTCAATGTCCCCTATAAACTCTTTTGCAATTCATATATTTAAAAAAAACTACTTATTATACCACTTTATAAGGATAAATAAATAAATAAAATAAATTAACTAGAAGTAATAAGAACCAACAGTCATATTCACATTAAATAACACTTTAATGGATTAAATTAAATTTTATAGTACCAAGTGATGTAAGTAGATACGGCCTAATAACTTAAATAATTCAACTAAGTTCCAATAATTATTTGTGACAATTTCATTGTGGCATCGTTTTGAAGTAACATTTCTTCCGTGTCGGCTGGAGAGAGGGGTACTTGGAAACTTGCACATTATTGCCTTGAGTTTTCTGCCTCATTATAATCGTAATATTTAGTGTCTTTACTCATACACTGGGATATTCAGTAGTTTGGCCTAGGGTACCGCATAGTGGTGGGGGGTGAGTGTCATAAAAGAAAGAAAGGATTCTTGAGAAAATGGGACGCAGTGGTCTCTTATCGAACCAGCGTATTGTGACTGATAATTTGTGTTTGCTAAAGTTCGAACGTATTGTGAGGCCCCACGTTTAGATAGCTTAGTCCAGCCCGTTTTTATCGCCAAGCCATTATATTTTTATCAGTTTAAAGGCTTTGGAGGTGGGAGACTTTAATGTGTCTCATAGCCCCGATGTTCACGTTGTTTTTTGGCCTGATGACCCCTGTATATTAAGGCGGCGCGGCGGTGAGTTCGTCTATCGGTGTACTGTTAATTAAGCGAGTCAGGAACTCATGAAGTTATTAGTTCATGCCTATGTTATTGGCACGGGCTGAAAAATTCATTTCATGATTTCATAGCGCCATATTTATTGATACAATTTTCTAATGAATTCTCTTAAAAGGAAACCATTGCAGAATAATGATTTAAATAGATTTCTTTTATTATTGTACTATAATTCAAATAAATTTCTTTTTTATTGCGTATGTGATTGCATTTTTTGTTTCAGATGGGTAGACGATGTCACAGCCCACCTAGTGTTAAATGGTTACTGGATACCATAGACATCTACAACGTAAAAACGCCACCCACCTTGAGATATAAGTTCTAAGGTCTCAGTATAGTTACAACGGCTGCCCCACCCTTCAAACCGAAACGCATTACTGCTTCACGGTAGAAAAAGGCGTGACCTACCCGCGCGGACTCACAAGAGGTCCTACCGGCAGTAAAAGTCGAATTGTGTTGTAAATACAAAGGTTGTCCTACTCTTCCCAAGCCTGAATGCACCACTGCTTTGCCGTAGGATGATGGTAGTCACCCGTGCAGGCTCACGAATTTTGAACTTTCCACACCGGAATTCAAGCTTCGCAGCATTATAAGGCAGTTCGTTGTAATCAAAAGCTATCTATAACAAAACTCCTTGTTGTTAGATTTCTCTTTAACTCCGGATACCTGAGCCCCGAGTCGGACTACTTCAACTGCGTCGTCAACATCCCGGAGGACATCCGTCGCGTGGACGAGCCATCCGAAGCTGGAGAGCAGATGTCCGTGCTGGGAGGAGTCCCGGGTCGACTCTACGGAGCTGCCTCCACTTTAGTCGGCCCCGATGAAAAGTCCGGAAGAATCAATCCGGCCCTGGAACCGGATGATGATGACTTGGATGACCCCAATGACGGGCCGACGCCGCTCTTTGGCTCCAGTAGCGCCCCGCCCCCAGTGCAACCTTACGGCAAGCAGACCGCCTTTTAAACCGATAAGTATGCTTTGTATTATATAAATTGGTGATTTTTTGCGACTCTCAGGTTTGTACATTGCTTTGAATAAAAACGAAAGCAAGAATAACAAAAAAAAGTATAATAATTCGAAATAGGATCCTGTTTTTTTGACAGACACGTAGTAGCGCACAAAACATTCTGCAAACCGCTATTTTTTTTTATTTTGAATAGTACGAACGAATGTCGATTAGCGTCTCCATAAAGATTATTTTTCGATAAACCTTACACTGTAATGCTCAAAAACGAACATATCATTAGTATCTTCCTATGATTTTTACTAAGAGAAATATTAAAGATTTACTTTACTATTTACCGTCATTTTATATTATGTAAACAATATGGCGTTTATTAATAATTATATTTAAATATAGTTTAACTTTAAAAGCAATATACACGTATATTTCTCGGTGTAAAGTAGCGTATTATAATACTTGCACTTAATTCACTGCATTTGTACAAATATTCGTGTATTTCGATCGAAGCAAAATCATTTCTCGTTTAAAAATTATAATTTGCGTAATTACTGGTGGTAGGACCTCTTGTGATTCCGCGCGGGTGGGTACCACCACCCCGCCTATTGCTGCCGTGAAGCAGTAATGCATTTCGGTTTGAAGGGTGGGGCAGCCGTTGTAACTATACTGAGACCTTAGAACTTACATCTCAAGGTGGGTGGCGCATTTACGTTGTAGATGTCTATGGGCTCCAGTAACCACTTAACACCAGGTGGGCTGTGAGCTCGTCCACCCAACTAAGCAAAAAAAAAACATTGAGCTGAATTTGTTTTTATCAAACAGCATGAATGTTTGCACAAATGTCCATACCGTTAGCGTTGCCAATGGTTCGACTTTCGCTGGTCAGTGATACCTAAAATGAATACATATCAAATTGTGAATTATCGTTGTTAGTGAATTATATAGTATTGTCATTGAAAAGATTCCTTATTTAAGTCAATTACGTGTTTAGATGTAGCACACAAGTAGTCGTGTACGAAGGAATGTGGTGAGCGCCCAAATCATCAGCAATGGTGAATCATATTTGTTTATCTCGTAAGGCTTATAAAGCATTTATTATGTATATAGATCAGAGTCTATTATCATAATATATTTTACTGTTTATATCCCGTCTGTTTTGGTGAATTATTATTATATTATTAACATAATGTTCTTGAAACTATTTACAAAAGACAAAACGTAATTAGAATTATACGTTGTTAGAAATCGTGGATGCTTGGCGTACTTAGATTTTAGATGAGACATGTATAAAATGTTATATGACTATTTAAATTTATTATATCGATGTTAAATGTGTTTAGTGGGTGATTAACATTTAATATCAGTTTTTTCAGCTTACGTAAATGCGAGGAGTATTTAGCAATCGGCCTAAATTAGCTGATCTAAAGTATGTTGTTCTTGGAATCAGAATATAGTGTAAATACTACACGCCTGGCTGCTATCACTCCAGTGTCTATGCTATAGTAGCTATGTAGCTCTGGACAGAGCAAAAACTTAATATAAATTATATGAATAACCGATTTAGGGAATGTATTGGTTTCCCCACCGCATAAAGTCAAAGTGGGTGTTACTCTAATGCATTCGTTGATGGACTTTAGTTACCATTTATCATCGGACGGACCGTGCGCTCGTTGCCCTAACATGGTCTACATTGAGATCTAATCACAGCATACGCATAGTGTACACCTATGTACCTACTAGGCCGCGAACACGTCATTTTGTCAAGAACAACATACATTGTTGACAAGCTTTTGAATGCGCTCATTGTTGAGATTCAACAGCATTAAGGGACATTATTTAAAAGTCAGCTACGCCCTCGATAAGTATGATTTAAACACAGGTCCTTTTACGATTTATATGAGACACTGAGCCCAAACCTATAATGAAGCCAAGTTGGCATCAATGGGCTCCTAAAATCACTTAATATCACTCCGCGAGCTTGTGTACCTATCTATAGCAACAAAAAGAAAGTTATTTCAATATCATTAATAGCTTCGTGTCTTACTGCATCTGATGTAGTGCAGCATAGCGCATCCATAGGCTAACACAAGCGTTGAAGCGTTTTGTATGGCATAAGCTATAACCTAAGCTATGTTTAGCTAACATAAGCTAACATTAGTTTTCCTGTGTATGGTTACGATTCGGTTCGTAACATTCCCATGCGGCTAGTCAGCCTTTAGTCGACAAAATATATGTCAAAACTAGTCAAAGGAATAAGTATAGAAAACTGATATATAAATGTTGATAATATTATTATAAAAATCTGTGTGTTGGTGTTTCAAGTTCTGTCCGTATTTATTGTATTTTTGTCTTGATAAATATTCTAATTATTACTGCTAATGAATTTACATAAAAACGAGTCTTAAAAAGATTTGTCGTATTTCGGTTTTATAATGTCGAATAAATCTTGAAGACGCATTTTCTAGATTGAATTTCCTGCTGTTTTAGTAAGCATAATCTGGAATAAAAAAATGGAACCTTGGATTATATAATGTCTAATATTATATCTATTATATCTAATGATTATATAATTCTCAACATTTGTATAGTTGGACAAAAGTCTGTTGTATTTACAACTGTGACGAATATATAAAATTTTGGTTTATAAAATTATTTAAAAACAAAAACCTTAAAAATTACGTAAGCTTTGGGTAAAAAAGCTATATTCAAGCTTTTGTAACGAAACGAAACATATCATAAAGAGGATTTAAAATAAATAATATACTATATAATTATATATAGCTTTTGAATTATTTATTGATGTATTTAACGAATTTTAGAAACTTATATATTTATAAATCTACATACCTACTTAATCTAAAGACGAATTGGTCCCTTTCTCGCTTGTTGGAGCGAAAATGAAAGAATCATATCAAAGTTAATATAATTTGCTTTATGTACAATATCATTTTTAGAACACTGTAAAGTAACAGGTTTGTCATATACGATTTTAACATGAACTATTTGTATATAAAATATGAAATATAAATATAATATGATGCTCGGTTAATAAGATGAAAAGTCAACTAAATAAGAAAGAAAATTGCAGCGTTAAATTCCTAAAGTCATTATCACATTATTGGTTATAAAGAGTTCGAAAAGCACTGGAAAATCATCGCCCTAATATCTCAATGGTCTTATAACTTGAACGACATTGATTATTAGTTAAGGCCATGCTTTTGTAAGGCCCCTAAATGCGAACATGAGAAATTGGAAGCTGCGCTAAACAATCTAACTATACTTGAGACCTTAGAACTTATATCTCAAGGTGGGTGGCGCATTTACGTCGCGGATGTCTATGGGCTCCAGTAACCACTTAACACCAGGTGGACTGTGAGCTCGTCCACTCATCTAAGCTATAAAAAAAATAAAAACTCACACGAATTTTAGGACACATTCCAGCTTTACGCTTTCCCAAAAATAATATTGTACATTCATACTTTTGTGATAAAATAGAACTTCGTATGAACTAAGCCGTACTAAGACTATGTAACGAAACATATCATCTGTGTGATTTTATCTTAGTGTTTTAGCGGTATATAAACATGTTATATGTAACTAGATATAGGCATTGTTGTTGTTCTAATGTAATGCTTTTTAATATATTTCGGGATGTATGCTTAGTGCCGAGAGAGTTTCTGGCATTAACGTGAGATTGATGGTAGGTGGTAGCATTTGTAAGGGATTTGTCGGTGGCGCTGTCTACTTACCATTATATACTCCGACTGCTCGTTTAGTTTTGATAACAACTAGAAAGACACAGGTTTGAGATTCGGCACAAAATATCTCAATACTTCTGAATGCCAAAGGTAGTCGCCAATTAAAATTCACTGCTTGTTATAAATATTAGTTGGTTTGGTTACTGGATAGCGAGTGTGTTTGAACGGTCCATATTATTATTATGTACATCATTATGTTACCAACTTTAGATCTAGTTTATTTTTATATTATGTGTATTTTTAACTGCGATATATCAGAAAGCATTATAATCACTTTAGCAGTAGATAAATGTACCAACTTTCGACCTATTCCTAGTTCTTGTTGAATATTTCGAACGATATCGTGTAATTAAATGTGTAATGTTGTGAAATGCGTTGTGCGAGCAACGTTAATAATAAAACTTATAGCGTGTTGATGCCTTTCTTTATTTAGCCTTTAAACTAAAACTTTGATAAAGAAAAAATATAAATCTACAATTTTTTTTATCTAAATAATTTTTTTGGTGAGTTCACCAAAACGGCATAGTGCTAGAACCTATAGAAATTTTATAACGTCTTTCTCCACATACACGAAGTCGACAATTTTAATTATTTAACTAGCCTGTGTGAAGTGGGAGAATCTTGAAGACGTTCAGGGAGTCCAGAGATGCTGAAAGTTGAATGCTGCGAATTGTTCTGGTGGTAGGACCTCTTGTGAGTCCACACGGGTAGGTACCACCACCCTGCCTATTTCTGCCGTGAAGCAGTAATGCGTTTTGGTTTGAAGGGTGGAGCAGCCGTAATAACTATACTGAGACCTTAAAACTTATTTCAAGATGGGTGGCGCATTTACGTTGTAGATGTCTATGGGCTCCAGTAATCACTTAACTGTGGCTGTGATTGAGGACAAAGTCTCCATAGCATTGAAAAGTCGGCTTTTAGATATAAAAGCACCGAAAATATAACAATGAAGGTATTTAAGAAGTATAGTTAGTTTCTTAGATTAATAAAAATTTGGAATTATAATTGCAAGAATAACAGTATAGGCAAAATCATAAACGTATGAAACATTTAAAAATATTTATTTATTAATAATAAAAAAATAAACTTTACAAATACACTTACAATTCTATTTTTTGTACATTTCACATTTAATTTAATTAACTAATACTTTCGTTTGATTGCACCAGCATGGCGACGTATTGCTCACCGAGAGATGCTTTTCATAGAGAGCCCTCTTCACTTTAACACTACTGAGATATTTTCTATCAATGACCTTGGAAGCTATGTAGGACCTGGTGAGTTTACGTGCCCATCACGAAAACACATAATTCGATTTTTTTTTCTTTTTTTTATGTTTGAAGGACTACTGGTGGCCCTTAGGCCTTTCCAGTTTCAAGTCATTCCAATTTGTTTTGTCTCGTGCATCATGACAAGTAGCCTTTGCTGTCCATTGAAAATCCTCGAAATCTTTCTTGCATAGAGCCAGTTTGTTTGGTAGTATTCATGTCAGGTCCTAACTGTTTCATTTGGATTAACTATCGGAGTTTTGATTTGAAAACAAACCGTCACAGGAATCAGGGTTCAGGGAACGTTATGATTATTAAGGTGTATCATTCCAAGGTTAAAATGAAGAATTGACTATTATTATTAGTCCTTGGTTAATACGAGCCAATTCTAGTACACGTAGCCACCATTAGAAGAATAACTTTGGCTGATAGTGGCTGGTACGCCACCGCTTGAACCACTTGACGAAAATCCACCTCCGCCAGAGTATCCTCCAGATCCTCCAGAAGAATAACCTCCACCCGATGAGTAGCTTGAGCCACCAGAGGAATATCCACCTGACCCTCCAGAATGACCACCAGAAGAATGCCCACC